GGGGCGGGATGGCGGGGTGAAGATGGCAGGATGGCGGGGACATGTTGGTGGGGTGGGATGGCCGGTCGGGACAGCGGGGGCGGGACGGCGGGGGGTGGGCCTGCTGGCGGGTCGGGACGGCGGGGGGTGGGGCCTGCTGGCGATGGCGGGACGGGGGGGGTGGGGCTGGGGCTGGGCGGCGGGGCGGGATGGCAGTGGGGGGAAGATGGCGGGGACACGCGGGACATGTGGGCGGGGCATGGCGGGGACATGTGGGCGGGGACATGTGGGCGTGGACATGTGGGCGGGGACATGTGGGGACATGTGGCCATGTGGGCGGGGACATGTGGGCGGGACATGTGGGCGGGGACATGTGGCGGGGACATGTGGGCGGGGACATGTGGGCGTGGGACATGTGGGCGGGGACATGTGGGCGTGGCCATGTGGGCGGGGACATGTGGGCGGGGACATGTGGGGGGATGTGGGCGGGGACATGTGGGCGGGGACATGTGGGCGGGGACATGTGGGCGGGGACATGTGGGCGTGGCGTGGGCGTTACCTCCTTGTGCGAGTCCTTGTGCGCCTCCAGAGTTTTCATGATGGTGAGCTCGGCGTAGTTCTTGAATCTGATTGGCTGATTTTTGAGCAGCTCCTTCATCACACGAAGAGACAGAGCGCGGACAGAGTGCTGAAGAACACCACACACACACTCAGTAACACACACTCAGTACACACACAAAACACACACACACACACTCAGTACACACACAAAACACACACACACTCAGTACACAACAAACACACACACACTCAGTACACACACTCAGTACACACACTCAGTACACACACACACACACACACACACTCAGTACACACACAAAACACACACACACACTCAGTACACACACAACACACACACACACTCAGTACACACACACACACACACTCAGTACACACACAAAACACACACACTCAGTACACACACCAACACACACACACACTCAGTACACACACTCAGTACACACACACACACTCAGTACACACACTCAGTACACACACTCAGTACACACAAAACACACACACACACTCAGTACACACACACAGTACACACACACACTGAAGAACACGACACACACTCAGTACACACACTCAGTACACACACACAAAACACACACACACACACTCAGTACACACACACAGAGTGCTGAAGAACACGACACACACTCAGTACACACACTCAGTACACACACAAAACACACACACACACTCAGTACACACACAAAAACACACACACACACTCAGTACACACACAAACACACACACACACACACACTCAGTACACACACAAAACACACACACACACACCAGTACACACACAAAACACACACACACACTCAGTACACACACAAAACACACACACACACTCAGTATACACACAAAACACACACACACACTCAGTACACACACAAAACACACACACACTCAGTACACACACAAAACACACACACACACTCAGTACACACACAAAACACACACACACACTCAGTACACACACTCAGTACACACACTCAGTACACACACAAAAACACACACACTCAGTACACACACACACACACTCAGTACACACAAAACACACACACACAGTATACACACAAAACACACACACACACTCAGTAGTACACACAAAACACACACACACACTCAGTATACACACAAAAAACACACACACTCAGTACACACACAAACACACACACACACACACTCAGTACACACACAAAACACACACACACACTCAGTACACACACAAAACACACACACTCAGTACACACACTCAGTACACACACAAACACACACACACTCAGTACACACACAAAACACACACACACACTCAGTATACACACAAAACACACACACACACTCAGTATACACACAAAACACACACACACTCAGTACACACACACAGCGCTGAAGACCAGACACACAAATATATAAACTCCAAGTGTCTCTGTTTGTACAAGTGTCTCCAGGGTCGAGCACCAAAGTCCATCTGTGACATGTTAGTGTCATATGAACATCTCACACTCTGAGGAGCTCAGGGACACGACCCTCTGACCTCCTGCTGGTGCCAGAGTCACGACTAAACAAGGGGAGTCAGAGTTTCAGGTTCATGCAGCTAAAACCTGGAACAGTCTGAACATGTGAGACAGACTCTTCTGTGACGCTGTTTAAATCCAGACTCTAAACATTTCTGTTTAACTGTGCAAATAACTGAAAGGTTTTCATTCCGCACTCTTCTCTCCAATTTATGTCTCTCTTTTTTCATTTTAATCTTTATGTTTTGATTTGTTTTTATTATGATTTTAATGTATTTCTTATTCTGTAAAACACTTTGAATTACTGTGTGTACGAATTGTGCTGTACAAATAAACTTGTCTTGCCAAATACTCCAAACTCCAAACAGGAGGTTCTGCAGGAGGCTCTTCTCTTCTGGCTCCTTCTGACTCACATTAGAACATTGTTGTTTGTTCCTCTCTGTTCCTGCTGCTGCTGTGAGACTCAGTTTGGTCTTAAATGTTCAGATTAACCCATGAAACAAGATCTTAGTGTTTGTTTGGTTTTTTTTCACTATGTTTTCATCCAAAAATTCCTCTTCATAATCTAGAGCCTGACTCCAGATTCGCTCCTGTGACATCAGGAGCATCAGGAGCTTCGTCTGAGTGGAGCTGAACCCTGTGGAGACGTCACACTCACACAGACACTTTTCTATAAACACTGTTTATCTACACTCACTTCTATCCACACATTACATTTAAAATATCACATGACATGATTAAGTTACAGCAGAGACACTGAGCCGCAGGAGAAGATCACACAGAAGATTCATGTCAAAATATGACAACATGAAGTTTTTGAATGAACTAAGTAAGTGATAGAATAAAGTCAGCTCTAAGTAGTAGTAGTAGTAGTAGTAGTAGTAGTAGTAGTACATCGCTGTAGTTGAGTGTCTTCAGCAGTAGTAGTAGAGTTGTAGTAGTAGTATATGTAGTAGTAGTAGTAGTAGTAGTAGTAGTAGAGTTGTAGTAGTAGTATATGTAGTAGTAGTAGTAGTAGTAGTAGTACCTCGCTGTAGTTGAGCGTCTCCAGCAGTAGTAGTAGAGTTGAAGTAGTAGTATATGTAGTAGTATATGTAGTAGTATATGTAGTAGTAGTACCTCGCTGTAGTTGAGTGTCTCCAGCAGTAGTAGTAGAGTTGAAGTAGTAGTATATGTAGTAGTATATGTAGTAGCAGTAGTAGTAGTAGTAGTACCTCGCTGTAGTTGAGTGTCTCCAGCAGTAGTAGTAGAGTTGTAGTAGTAGTATATGTAGTAGTAGTAGTAGTACCTCGCTGTAGTTGAGCGTCTCCAGCAGTAGTAGTAGAGTTGTAGTAGTAGTATATGTAGTAGTAGTAGTAGTAGTAGTAGTAGTACCTCGCTGTAGTTGAGCGTCTCCAGCAGTAGTAGTAGAGTTGTAGTAGTATATGTAGTAGTAGTAGTAGTACCTCGCTGTAGTTGAGCGTCTCCAGCAGTAGTAGTAGAGTTGTAGTAGTAGTAGTAGTAGTAGTAGTAGTAGTAGTATAGTAGTAGTAGTAGTAGTAGTAGTAGTAGTAGTAGTAGTACCTCGCTGTAGTTGAGCGTCTCCAGCAGTAGTAGTAGAGTTGTAGTAGTAGTAGTAGTTGTAGTAGTAGTAGTAGTAGTAGTAGTAGTACCTCGCTGTAGTTGAGCGTCTCCAGCAGTAGTAGTAGAGTTGTAGTAGTATATGTAGTAGTAGTAGTAGTACCTCGCTGTAGTTGAGCGTCTCCAGAAGTAGTAGTAGAGTTGTAGTAGTAGTAGTAGTAGTAGTAGTAGTAGTAGTAGTAGTAGTAGTAGTATATGTAGTAGTAGTAGTAGTAGTACCTCGCTGTAGTTGAGCGTCTCCAGCAGTAGTAGTAGAGTTGTAGTAGTAGTAGTAGTAGTAGTAGTAGTAGTAGTAGTACCTCGCTGTAGTTGAGCGTCTCCAGCAGTAGGAGTAGAGTTGTAGTAGTAGTATATGTAGTAGTAGTAGTAGTAGTAGTAGTAGTAGTACCTCGCTGTAGTTGAGCGTCTCCAGCAGTAGTAGTAGAGTTGTAGTAGTAGTATATGTAGTAGTAGTAGTAGTAGTAGTAGTAGTACCTCGCTGTAGTTGAGCGTCTCCAGCAGTAGGAGTAGAGTTGTAGTAGTAGTATATGTAGTAGTAGTAGTAGTAGTAGTAGTAGTACCTCGCTGTAGTTGAGCGTCTCCAGCAGTAGGAGTAGAGTTGTAGTAGTAGTATATGTAGTAGTAGTAGTAGTAGTAGTAGTAGTAGTAGTAGTAGTACCTCGCTGTAGTTGAGCGTCTCCAGCAGTAGGAGTAGAGTTGTAGTAGTAGTATATGTAGTAGTAGTAGTAGTAGTAGTAGTAGTACCTCGCTGTAGTTGAGCATCTCCAGCAGTAGGAGTAGAGTTGTAGTAGTAGTATATAGTAGTAGTAGTAGTAGTAGTAGTAGTAGTACCTCGCTGTAGTTGAGCGTCTCCAGCAGTAGTAGTAGAGTTGTAGTAGTAGTATATGTAGTAGTAGTAGTAGTAGTAGTAGTAGTAGTACCTCGCTGTAGTTGAGCGTCTCCAGCAGTAGGAGTAGAGTTGTAGTAGTAGTATATGTAGTAGTAGTAGTAGTAGTAGTAGTACCTCGCTGTAGTTGAGCGTCTCCAGCAGTAGGAGTAGAGTTGTAGTAGTAGTATATGTAGTAGTAGTAGTAGTAGTAGTAGTACCTCGCTGTAGTTGAGCGTCTCCAGCAGTAGTAGTAGAGTTGTAGTAGTAGTATATGTAGTAGTAGTAGTAGTAGTAGTACCTCACTGTAGTTGAGCGTCTCCAGCAGTAGGAGTAGAGTTGTAGTAGTAGTAGTAGTAGTAGTAGTAGTAGTAGTAGTAGTAGTACCTCGCTGTAGTTGAGCGTCTCCAGCAGTAGTAGTAGAGTTGTAGTAGTAGTAGTAGTAGTAGTAGTAGTAGTAGTAGTACCTCGCTGTAGTTGAGCGTCTCCAGCAGTAGTAGTAGAGTTGTAGTAGTAGTATAGGTAGTAGTAGTAGTAGTAGTAGTACCTCACTGTAGTTGAGCGTCTCCAGCAGTAGGAGTAGAGTTGTAGTAGTAAGTAGTAGTAGTAGTAGTAGTAGTAGTAGTAGTAGTACCTCGCTGTAGTTGAGCGTCTCCAGCAGTAGGAGTAGAGTTGTAGTAGTATATAGTAGTAGTAGTAGTAGTAGTAGTAGTAGTAGTAGTAGTACCTCGCTGTAGTTGAGCGTCTCCAGCAGTAGGAGTAGAGTTGTAGTAGTAGTATATGTAGTAGTAGTAGTAGTAGTAGTAGTAGTAGTACCTCGCTGTAGTTGAGCGTCTCCAGCAGTAGTAGTAGTAGTTGTAGTAGTAGTAGTAGTAGTAGTAGTAGTAGTAGTACCTCGCTGTAGTTGAGCGTCTCCAGCAGTAGTAGTAGAGTTGTAGTAGTAGTATATGTAGTAGTAGTAGTAGTAGTAGTAGTAGTACCTCGCTGTAGTTGAGCGTCTCCAGCAGTAGGAGTAGAGTTGTAGTAGTAGTATATGTAGTAGTAGTAGTAGTAGTAGTAGTAGTACCTCGCTGTAGTTGAGCGTCTCCAGCAGTAGTAGTAGTAGTAGTAGTAGTAGTAGTAGTAGTAGTAGTAGTAGTAGTAGTACCTCGCTGTAGTTGAGCGTCTCCAGCAGTAGGAGGAGAGTTGTCTTGAAGTGTTCGTCCCACAGGGGGGCGCTCCTGCTCCTGCTCCTGCTCTTGTTCTTGTTCATGTTCTTGCTCGTGTTCGTGTTCTCGTTCATGTTCTCGTGTTCTTCTCTGCAGATCTTCAGCAGCTCCAGGAGGCTGCTCCTCCTCTGCTCCAGCCCACGCTCCCCCCCCTCCGCCTGGGACAGGGTCTTCAGGAGAACCCCCACCACCTCCGCCACCTCCACCTGCTCCACCTGCTCCACCTGCTCCACCTGCTCCACCTGCTCCACCGACGACACTGACCAACACACAGAGACAATTACACTCTCACTCAGGTCACTCAGGTCACTCAGGTCTACAGGGGCGACACTGAGGGACACATTTAAACTGTCAACACACTGGAGGAGTCAGGTCTGTGGAGAGGAGAGCTGCTCACAGTGACGAAAAAACATCCAGGAACATAAAACAGGTTTTTTTTTTGTTTCTGAAGTGACTTTGTGTTTGGACAGAGCAGCAGCAGCAGCAGCAGCAGCAGCAGCAGCAGCAGGTGTGACACACACACAGGTAACTCCATCACTGTTACCATAGCAACTGTCACGTAAACAAAACACGTCTAAAATACAACAACAACGTGTGATCAGAGTCAGATACAAATACAATATTACCTGAAAATCCTTTAGGACTTTGGGTTCGATTCTCTCCTCCCTCGTCTTTATGACCTGAAAAGAGACAAGACTTTAATCAGGACTAAACCCGGTCTAAACCTCGGTCTAAACCCGGACTAAACTCGGTCTAAACCCGGTCTAAAGCTGGTCTAAAGCGGTTCAGTCTCACCGTCGGCGGCGTCCTCCGCTCGGTCCGTGGTCGCCGTGTCGCTGTAGTTCTGGGGGTTGTAGTCCTTGAAGCGTGAACCAATCAGAGCGCGAGGAGGAAGTGAGTTCAGTAAAGACGTTTTATTTTCCAAAACCGAACGACAAACTTCAGACGAGTCTCCAGAGTCCCAGGCCCCGCCCCCTGGAAACTGCACAGGAAAACGAAAATACTCAGAGTGAAAAGGGTCTGCAAAAGGGTCTGAGAGTAAAAGGGTCTGAGAGTAAAAGGGTCTCACCAGTGTGTCCCTGGACTCCCGCCTGTTCTCCTCATCTGGACTTTTAGAACCACAAACTTCATCTGTGCTCTCAGGATCCACCTCGAACATCACACTCAGAGGAACAAGAGAAGAACAAACATCACACTGAGGAACAAGAGAAGAACAAACATCACACTGAGGAACAAGAGAAGAACAAACATCACACTGAGGAACAAGAGAAGAACAAACATCACACTGAGGAACAAAACAGAAGAACAAACATCACACTGAGGAACAAGAGAAGAACAAACATCACACTGAGGAACAAGAGAAGAACAAACATCACACTGAGGAACAAGAGAAGAACAAACATCACACTGAGGAACAAGAGAAGAACAAACATCACACTGGGGAACAAAACAGAAGAACAAACATCACACTGAGAAGAACAAACATCACACTGAAACAAGAGAAGAACAAAACACACTGAGAAGAACACATCACACTAACAGAAGAACAAACATCACACTGAGGAACAAACATCACAACTGAGAAGAACACAACACTGAGAAGAACAAGAACAAACATCACACTGAGGAACATCACACTGAACAGAGAAGAACAAACATCACAAGAACAAACAACAGAACAACACACTGAGAGGAACATCACACTGAGAGAAGAACAAACATCACACTGAGGAAC